CCCCAAAACCCCAAAACCCCAAAACCCCAAAACCCCTCGCTTCAACAACCAAGTTGAACTTAAATTATAATTGGTTAAAATTTAGATGCCCTTTTGCCACGATTTATAGCATAATTACGTCATTTAGGATTAAGGTGAGCTTTCTTAGTCAATCCTTGAATAGGCCAATTTAAACATCGAAATCCGTAAGATACCACCTAGATAATGCAACTGTGGCTCTTCCTTAGCCCATACAAGGGAGATGATCAAGAAAGATTCCTAAAATATTTGCCAAATGAAAACAAATATGGTTTGATTCTTCTTAAAAATTTGAGTAAGTCTTTTTCTATTTGGTTATTCATTAGTTCTGGTTTACTGTATTGCATGCTTATCTTACCATTTTGGTATAAGTTCTGCTCAAAGTTTGCTATCGCTTCTAATAAATTTGATTCGGGATTTATACTAATGAAAGGCTATTTTTGGCCCATAAAATTTGGGAGAGGATCATCATTAAGCTTCATTAAGAGCATAAGAATACCAGATTAACAAACTTATCCCCATCCAGAAGTCTTCTGCATGCTCTTGCTTAATGGATAGTTCCCAAACTCTAGCATTCAGATAGACACAAAGAGTCTGAGTACTGAGAATATTCTGAATTTGCCGGATTTCTAATGGTAACAAACCTCGCTCATAAATATCTAAAATCTAAATGAATGATATATCAAAATATATGCTGCTAGTTAGTCATTAAGCTATTAGAAAGAAGTCTATTCTAACACAAGAAGTATCTTAACAGATGTTATGATCATTTAATTTATCAATTGAATGTATTATTCCTTCTTTAACTTTGCTTTCTCGCTCTTATCTTCTCCTTTTGTCCCATTATCCTTCTTGCTTCTTTTCTTGAAGGTTGGCAGTAGCGCAAATCTGAAGACAACAAAGGTACCAAGGATCATCAGATGCCAGAAGAAGTTGTATTTAGCGTAGTACTTCATCGCCTTCTTGAACTCAAGCAAAATCATTCCTGTAGCAAAATAATTCAGAGAAGTCATAATCAAAAGGTTCCTGATCACTGCACTGATAGGTCCTGGAATAAAGGAAAACAAATGTCGTAGCCTGTATACGTCCTTTCCGATTTCTGCAATGATTGCCAAAAAGAAGAACGTGTTGTAGTAAGTTGGATAGAACCCATGCCAGAATGCTGACACCAAGTTCGTGCCCATTGTTGCCATTGTAGCGTCTCCCCCGTTTCTAGGTCTGACCCGCTCGTACACGTAGTGTCTAAGCCACTCTGCAGTCATGCTGTTCCAGTGTCTGACTCCTTCACGTGGCACAGTGCACGCTTCGAGTTGGATGATGTTGACACTGACGATTCGGTCGAACTTGGGCTGGCCTTGAGGTGTGGTACCGGAGTAGGAGAGACCGGAGAGAGCTAAACCACCATCATTGATAACCCAAGCAACGAAATATGTTGTCCTGTATGCAAATCATGCAATCATCCAGTATACATATTGATGAAGGTAGGGCATATCGAAGAACCAATCAGACTCTAATTCATAGGGATCACATATTGTCGGAAGCTTTACTGCTAATGCTAAGACTATAACACCCTCAAGCATCTTCTTCCATACGAAGCTGGAGCTAGATGGAATGTGCTTATATCTTCCTTTCTCCTCCATGAAGTCTCTGAAATCTCTAAACTCGAAGAATGGTCCACACATTCCTGCCACTGGAAACGAAATGTAGCTAAGCATCTCTACTATGCTTGGCTTGTCTACAATCCTTCTTTCCATTTGTTCTTCAGTAAGATCCTTCTCGTCCTTGGATCCATCTGAGTAAACGAATCCTAAAGACGAGAGTCTTGAAATAAGTGGCATCAAGAATGTAGTTGCGTCCAAAGACCAATTACCAAAATCGAACAGCATTCTATACAAGTGCATGGCTGAGAGATGAGTCAGGCAAACGATAAACACTACCCATGGTAAGCTCTTCTTTTTCATCACTGTCAAGATCAAGTACACTACGATTCCGAGTCCCCAAAAGTGTACGACACCGTCTCTGAACATGAAAAGATGCAGGATAACTCCAAGGAAAATAGAGTAGAAATGCCTAAGATTTCTTCCTCTGAGGAACCTGAAGACATACCCAATAGGGTATGATCCTAGTAAGATTAATAACAGCCTCATCTGGTCGTCTGGCTTTCCCAATAGCAATCCAACCTCATGGACAATATTGTCAAATGGATCGAAGAACATCTTTACTAATAAATTATACGGATTTCAATATGAGAATTATTGCTGGGGTTTTGGGGTTTTGGGGTTTTGGGG